TCTTTCCCTCCTGCAAAAATAACGTAGTAGCAGCATAAGTTCAAACAAGTAGGAAGTAGAATATGAACGGATTAAGTTCATTGTAGCTTAAACTTTGATTAGCTGTCAGCTGCATCAGGTCTGTGGCTGGTGATTACATGTTATTTTTGTCTATGGCAAACAAAGCCCCTCTCAACATAAATGTCCTTTACCTTTCTACATCTGGTACACTGATACTTTCTCCAGTGACTAGGATATATTTTAGTAAAAGGAGATTTGCTTATGCATATGAATGAAAGCTAGAACTGACATACGAGAAAAGGTATCAAAGGTCAAATCAGCGACAGTAGTTGGAATTGTATTTCCATCCTTTTTTTAGACTATTCTAGTGTTTGTTATTTTTTTCCAGATGTTCTAAGGTTATTAGGTCAGGGTAGGCATTTTTGGCCAGTTAATTGCTGGAAATTCAGTGTTAAATAGGAAAGGTGTTGAGGTGTTGGGTTGTTTTTGTTTTACTGTGCTGGAGCGTGTTTGTGGATGGACAGAGTGATGTCCTCCCTTGCAAGGGAGATTTAAAAGCTACTCAGTGCTTACTCAGGAGTGAAAACATCAAATTAAATGTTTATGCTGACAAAGAACAAAACTGGATTTCAGCAAACGATGCAAGATTGTCTCATTGCTTGGCTTGTCTAGGAAAGCTTCTGGCCAAGACTTATAATGAAATGCATGCATAAAATTAAAGCCCTTGAAGTCTGTAGTTCAGCTTTCGGAAACAGTAAGTATGTTCCAGTCGTCTCTAGTGGCTAAAGCTAGTCCCTTGGTACCAGTCTTGCTTCATATTCATAAATCAGCCCTTCATGTGTTGGCAGTGTCGTGCTGCAGAGCAAGCAGTACCACTGCTGAGACTCAGCCCCTCAGCCAGGAACCAGGTTGAAAAATGATCCCAATCGATGGGGCTATGGCGATCACCGAATTTTTACCTAGAATGAACAGCAAATTGAATAACAATGAGTGCGTGTGAATAAATGCCCTGTCAGGGAGCCCTGACACTGATGGATTAGGAAATGCTAAGTGGTACTCTCTCAAGGCTGTGTACATCCTCCAGTGTGGCAGGCTGAGGTAGCACACAGGTCTGTGGGTGATGAAAATGGACTGTGCTTAGCAATAAGAAGTTGTTTTCAGTGACTGTTCTGCTAAAAAGATCCAGTTCATCTGCTATGGAAAAGCTACTGCAGCTGCAAAACACAGTGGAAATTGTCAGCTGGATTTTTTGCTATGTATCAGTAATTATCTTTCATTTTTAAATCAGTACTGAAGTGGTACAACTCCTCAAGTAAAGACCAAATGGGATTTTTAAAGTGAGTTTATTACACTTGAGTCCAGAAAATTTTTTATTAACTTAGTTGTGAAAACTTCAGAAATGACCAATGTTTCTTGAAGAAGAAAAAAATCTGTTATGGTCTCATAACTACCCTGGTTCATGCTAATTATCAAGCTGAAAAGCTTTTTCCTCAGAATACAGCTTTGCATCTCAGTTTTTTAGTTCTTAATTTGTTTGGCAATCAATATTTTTATATATTTAAATGCTAGATTAATATTTTCTGAATATTTGTTTCTGAAGTATAGCTTACTGAAAATGTATGCAAAATAAATTCTTTGGAATTGATACAGCATTTTTTCTTGATGACTGTGTTTCCAAGGTTGTTGAAGTGTAACCATTCATAGCAGTTAGTGGTTTTTAAAAAAATCTAGCTGAAAGATTTTTTTTCCTGAATGTTGTATAATACCAATACATGATGACTTTACCAATTATACTTTTAATTATCCTTGTTGCTCATACACAGAACAGTTGTAAACTTGCAACATTTAAAAAAGAAAAACAACCTACCAAAAAAGTTTATATTTCTGCATTGGTTGTGCATTGTTAAGATTTCACACTCAAGTTATCTAAGATAAATATCTGGTTTGGTATTACTTTGAGTCTAAGCTCAGTTAAAGCAGCATTCTATCACTGCTTTCCTGAGCAGATTTGAACTGCTGCGTCATAGCAACGTTGAATCCTAACTGGTAGTAACTTAAATCAGTTATTGTGTATATGAGGTGGGAACATCTATCCCTAATTAATGGAGGGTGTTTTGCAATGCTTGGATTTTACCTTTCTCCAGACATTATGTTTGGGAATTGTTAAGCTTGCTTCTACATAAAGGCAAAGCATGCTTGTTAAAAATGAATTACTGGTGGGCACTGAATACATGGACAAGAGAACAGCTGTTTCCCCACATACAAACAAGTTCCTCATAGACCCTAAATATCTAAGTTTTCTGTGCTTTTATAGGTACTACAGTAAGAAAACCATACTTCCAGTGTTTACTTAAGTTCACAGATTTTATTGCCAGCTCTCCAGTTACAATGCATAGCTTTCACAAGTCAGTTGGAACATTGTGGGGTTGTTTGGATTGTATGTGGAATTTCACAAGTAGAGGGAAGTTGGTGTAATTGGATAGTGAAGTTTGCAACTGTGCTCACAAGCAACTGTCCGCTGCTGGTGTTCCGCATTTCTGCATGGACAGTCAAGTGATGGAGTTTCAGTCCACCAGCAGTGCAAATAAGGGAATTGAGGGGTTTTCCTTAGTTAATGTGCTACAGGTGAATATATGCACATCGTTAGTGTTTCTCAAACAGCCCATATTGCTGTTGGCAAACAGCAGCTGGTATGTTTTGATGCAGAAACTCAAGTATACATCTATTTGTGTTTCTAAAAACACAGTGTTTACATCTGGTGTTAGTAAGAGTAAAGAATTTCATTGTGCTGTTTAAGATTACAAAAATCTGTTCTTTCAGAGAATGCTTAGCTGTGCTGTGAGACTTTTGCTAAGGTACTTTTTTAAATGTAAGCTTATAAAACTCATGTTTAGGATTTATAAGCAGTAGAGGGAAAAAATCTCACGAGTTTATCAAGCTTTTCCAGCTTTACTTCCTCTTCTGTTAGAACCTCCTTGGGATCTTGGTTTTTAAATGTGTCTACACGTAGGTTTAAATTAAGACTTTCAAAAACTCTGAAAACTCACATTATAGGACTGTCTACATTTATTTAAAGTTGATATTAAATTTGGCATTTATTTGCATCTTGGTAATATAGTGAGATAAATAATTGAACAGTATAATTCTTTATGTATAAAGGATTTTATATAAGGTAACATAAGGTGTGCCCTGCCTGCCTTTTTCCTTTTTCTTCTTCATAAGTCTGAGTTCTTGTCCATAGGTTCTTTTGGGAATTTCTTTTAAAAAGGAACTGGAGGAATGAATCCAGTCTGAGCCATCTATGAGATTATTGCAATATTTGCGTTATTGATAATTTTTGTCAGTCGAAGTTTTAAGAAATTAAGGCCACTTTTTGTTACCTCAAACAGTAGTTACCTCAGTAGCTTTAACGTAGTAATTTCTGTCATATATTACCTTTTATACTTTCATTCTTGCATATTTTTTAGTCTTTATACTCTAATTTTTTCAAAGAACCCTTATCAAATGTAAGATTGTTTTCCAGTTTAGAGGCTTCCCAGCCTGTTGTGGTAGGCCTTCATTTGAGTGTAGTAAGAATGTGGTCTTAGTTTGAGACCGTATCTTAGATCCCCACCCCCCTAGAAATGTTACTATGTCATTCCACAAGAAGAATTATTTTATGGTTCAAGTCCTGTATTTGTTTTGGAACACACCTTATTTTGACCTTGTTTGAAGGATCAGTAAAATTCTTTTTATATGTGATTTGTTCTGTGATATCAGCTGTTTGTATCAGCAGTTTATTTCTGCTGTTAGTTGCTTAAAAATCTTTTTTTATTCCCAGTTTCAGCATTTAAAAAATGGAGTCGTGTGTTGCTCCAAGGTGTAAATGAATAGTCATTGCCGGTAATACAAGTACACACTTAGTGTCCTACTGCTTTTAGATGTGATGTATTTGGTACTGTAAAGGTAATGATCCTCAACCACAGCAATATTCTGTAACAGGAATATCTGTCATATTCATTGGGATTACCATGTTCATTGATTTGTGTCTGTAAATCTGCTGTTTCTACCCTTTAAATTTGATCTATAATTGGACCTCCTTAAATGGTTCAGATAAGGTAGTCTGTATTTTCTCAACAGTGTCACTGTCAGCTTCTCCTTTTTCATTATACATTCAGCAGACTTGATAAAATCAGCAGGACACCTCATTTGAAACTGTTTAATCGCTGCCTTTTTCTTTCACTAAACCATTGAGGTGGTCAAGCGATATACACAAATCATTTTAAATAGAAAATATGGCTTTTTCTGTGACCCAGCTAAACAGATAGCAGTATGCAAAACAAGTTAAAAAGTAATAAATGCCAGAAAATCTTTTAATTGGAGTAAAAAATTGCAGGTAACTTTATTCACTCCCCAAAAATAGCACGCTTTGAAATATGGTTAGGACAACAGACAGACAAGATATCTTCCTGAAGATTCACTCTTTCTGAACAAAGCAAGTTTACAGTTTCAAGTAGTATAATACTGCTTTTTTGTATTAATTTACAGAAAGCATGTTTATAACACCTGCAGTTACAGTGCTTTGGGTAGAGGTGGCTTCTGTTCCATTACTACACTTGCACTGTATCCTTTGAAAGAAGTAATGTTAAACTCCTGTTTTCATATCTGTCATTTTGTCTGTTCAGCTGTTATTGTTCAATGTAAAAATAATCGCACAAAGTAAATGCATAATAAATTGTTTTAAAGTAGATACAGGAAATAACCTGATGGCAGCAGCCAGCTACCCTATTACCATTGCTAGTTTACTCATCCCCATGCGTAAAGATGACTGTGCCAGGGCAGCTCGTTAAAGCAATCTATTCATTCTGAGTGTCTTAGTGTTAAGTGACATACCCTCTAACATGGTCAGGCACAAAAGTGGGACAGGAGAAATGGAGGAGCAGGAATTACAAACTGTGACATGCAGTTAACTCACTTTTTCTAACCTCATTTTCATACCTTGGTGTTCAAAATAGTAAAAAGAAAAAGAGTCAGAATGGGGACTGTGACAAGTCTGTGTACACTAGCTATAAATTTAGGATTGAATTAGGTGCTGGACTGAAAGAGGCTAGGCACTTTAGAGTGTGTAGTAAGCTAAGGAAGACTTCAGTCTGATTTGTGATGCTGATATTTGTTTTTTCTTTTAGAAAACCTGTATCTAAATACACTAATTTTGTTACTGTAGGTTCTGGATCATTAGCAGCTATGGCAGTATTCGAAGATAAATACAAACCGGACATGGAGGTAAGAAATGTTTTTTAAACCTCAGTGTTTTCTCCTTCAATAATTCTCATTATCTTAAGAATTTCAGAGGTTTGAAGCTTTAAAAAAAAGTTAAAACTGTTCTAGTTTCCCTGCGCTTCAAATATACTAATGTCAGCTTACTGCAAAGCTGCAAAAATTGATGGGTAAAATAAATTTAAAGAAATACAGCTTCTTGCAAATTTATATATGGAAAAACTTTTGTGATTTCAATGTAGGTGAAAGCTTTAAAAACACACAACTTACTAATTTTAGTTGACTTCAGGAATTTTTAACAGCCCTTGCACATTGCTGGTTTTCCCACGGTCGTCAGTCCTCCTCTCTCATTCAAGAGAGATTGTAAAAGCAACAAAAAATGCTGAAGCAGTATATGAAACCAATTAGATTACCAGTTGATTGGTTATGTTCAGAACTAGTAACTAGACTTTTATTTTTAACACCTACTTAAAAGCTGCTTATCAGAGGATTTATAAGGTTGTGGGTTCTTTCTGTTCTGCTGATGATCTTGATAAAAATTGAAAAAATATTTGCTTCACTATAAAGAATCGTTCAGGAGAGCTAAAAGCTGGAGTGTCATGATTAAGACCAGAATAAGTAATTCAGTTATTTTTTTATGAATGTATGCAGCACATTATTTTTGTATTATCTGTAGTATTTCCTTACACTTAGTTACACCATGTTCTAAGTTACACTTGCTAAACTAGACAGTGAAAAATCCAGTTATCTGCAGATAGACTATTGATGAAAATAAAACCAAAACAATTAAAGGGCTTTCTGTGCCCATATTGAATAAAATGCCTTGGTAGTGTCAAGCCCTCTTTTAAACCACATTAATCTCCTTAGACTTTCTGTGAATGCTTCTTCTCATTCCAATTGATTAATAATTTCACAGTAAAGAAAAAACTGAGAATTGAACACAAAATTGAAAATTGAACCCATTAAAAATTACTTGTAACACTAACAGTTGCAATCATTTCAGCCTAAAATGCAAATATAACAAATCTTACAGCTATTCAGTATCATCGAATAACATGGAAAAGGAAGATGCTGATTTACTTCAGAAAAGGTCTTCAGATGTTCCTCATCTTTGTAATGCAAACTGCTGTTTCCTCCCCTTCAAATGCACTGTATTTTCAGGCGATGGTCCCATAAGTCCACTGAGTTCCTCACAAAAGTTGATCAATTAAATTTAAGTTTTTAAGTGATGTGTTGTACCCTGTTAAATGTCCCGAAGAAACGTGATGTGTAATACCACTTGATTAAAAAAAAACAAAAACCAAAACTTGTTTTGAGCAGCTTTCCATTAGTTAAACTGTTTAAGAGTTAGTAGTAAGCAGTTTTCCAATTATTCCTGGAACTGGCTCCTTTTCTGTCAGTATATATGAAATAGTTGTAGGTGTGCAAAATTTTGAGAATGCAGTAAGATCAGGATTCCTGTGTTGCTGCAATGTTTTAGACTACATTTGAAGACTTCTGGCCTCTAGTATTTTTATAAATGCTATCAGAAATATTGGCATATTTTTAATAGGTATTCAAGTTTCTTCTTTAAGTGGAATTACACTAGGTGACTGATGGAAAGAACTACTAGATAGAGGTCGATTCTCTACTCTTCCCCCCCCGCCCCGCCTCTCCCCTCATGCTGCTGTAACGATGACAGTCTCTTTCCAGCCTGTTGTGTGACTGTACATTTGGCATATGTGCTAGTCATACTGAAAACATGGACTACAAATCCTTGGAATCAACAGCTACAGTGTAATAGTCCACTTTCAAAGATGCAAATATCAAAGAGCTATGCTATGAAAGTTAAAATTTGATCTTATTCTCAGCTAGTTTTCAAGCTTGTATTTTAAGTCATTCTTTCTGTAAGAGCAACCAAAAAGGCACCAAAAATTGGTAAATCTCCAACTTTTCCTATTTAGAAAGGTCATCCTAATTAAATTGGCTTCATACACAACCATAAATGGCAGCAGATACTTGCTGTCCTAACAAGCACATAGAAATACAGCCTACCAATTTGTTGAAATAGATATTTAGAACTTTGAGACTTGCATGCACCTTAACCTTTCCTTTGTTTTTACTAGATATTCTGTTATCTAATAACAATTTAGTAACAGTATTAACTAAATAAGAAAAGTTTCAGGTGATAAAGCTCAACTGTACTCTTAAGCACTTCTGTTATGGCTGCCAGCTTAAAATATTTACCTTCTAAATTAGATCTGTGCGGTTTTTGGTTTTTTTTTTTTCCCAGTAAAGTAAGAAAGTAACAAGTGGTAATTCTATTAAAATTTAAAACAAATCAAATCCGAAGTACACTATGTATATTTTTACATAAAATTTGCTATGGAATGGCAATGACGATAAACTTAAAATTCCTGGATTTAATAAAATGGGTAGAGGATTAATATTTTTCTGTCAAGATCAATACTGCTTTCTTTTGCACTAATTGTCAGAATATCGTGCTAGGGCTACTGGAGGGTAGTGGTGTGCTTCAAGACCATCACATCACAGAAAAATGATTCAAAGGCAAACTGTCCTGCACCCTCTGGTATCGACTTGCAAATTAGCATCTGGAATGTAATTAAACAAGCTTAATGAAAGTAGCAGCTGAATACTACTGGAAAAGACAATCAGCTTTTTTGCCTCTGATATATATTCTGTACTATTGAAGCTGATCACCAAACGCATCGTGTGAGCACAGTTAAAAAAAAATTAGCATTTATTTGAAGAATAAGAACTGTTTTTCATTCTGTTATGCTTTTGGCATGCACTGGTGTCCCATGAGAGCCATGCCACAGCAGATAGTGCACAATATTTATAAATCCATGACAGGCAATAATAGCAACTTGAAAAATTCTTTTGCTAGAATTTCAAGTTGAGAGCTGCCAAAAGCTGAGAGGATCAAATCTGCAGTGGCAGCTGCTGTGCCCTACAGTTAGAATCGTAGACTTTGAAGATGCTCAACTTTAAAAAAAAAAAAAAAAAAAAAAAAAAAAAAGACTGCAGGCTTAGCCAATTTTTTGCAGGTTTCTAGAGCCCTGGCTCTCTGCCTTTTGAAGATGAGTTGCTGAAGCTTGAAGCTTCTACCACTGCCTGAGGCATGCTAACACCAGCAGGATGTGTTTTTTTTCCATAGACTTAGTGTGTCTTCAGATTTAAGTAGCACATGCTTTATCAATGCCAACTGTGATGGTCCTTTCCCTGGTTGCAATGCCGGGAGATGATCTTTACCCAACATCCTTCAGAGAAACTGCTAAGATAGATGGTGACGTACACGAGTGCCACTTCTGCAGTCTGATTTATGGAAGCATGTTTCATTATGAAGCCAGTGCTGGCCTCTAGAGGAACCATTATAGATTGCTGAAAATGTGAACACTTTCAGCCCTGAAGGCCTGTAGATGCTTCAAAAACGTAATGCCAAGCACCTAACTACCGTGGAACAATATTAATCTGTCATGTGGGCAGCTATAGATCTACTTGAAAAAACGTAAGTGGAAGAACAGCACATCTAATAGAGTATTTTGAGCTTAGATCTTTCATTGCAGCCGATTTTTTTCTTTCAATAGAGTTGCCACATGTTTTTTAAACCTTACAGTCAGATTTTGCAAATACATTCATGCCTTCTGGTGTTAAACAATAGTAGAGAAATACTCTGACTCAGTGGATACAAAAATCATCATGATCTGGGGAAAAAAAATGTCTGCCAGTATTAAATGCTGGAGTTCTGGGTTTATCTTTTAAGTTGTTGAATTTCTAGGGAGATTGGGGGAGTATTACATATTTATTGTGGTATTTGACTCCTGTTGTTTGAGAAGTAGAAGGTTTTTGTCTGTAGAGGAATTACTTGATGTACAGCAAGGCAATGTTGTAGCTTTCTGATAAAAGCTTCATGTTTAAGCAAGGAAAGAGGCCAATTGCAACTTTATTTCTTCTCTGTATTTCATCAAAACAGCCGGGCTTAATAAAAAGGGGATCCAAAAGGAAGAGAATCAGTAGATGCCACAGAAAG